CTACATCATTACGGCACAGCTCACAACTGGATGAGAAGCTATCTTTTATCACGGACACAATATGTTTCCATGGGCAACATCAATTCAAAGCACGCTCCTATTCATCACGGGGTACCACCAAGGATCCATACTAGGACCCCTTCTTTTTTCTATCTACATAAATGACCTCTGCAATGTTTCGCCCTCAACCAAATGCGTATTGTTCGCAGACGACATCAACCTTCTTTTTACATCCAACAACCTACCAGATTGCTCTGAACATATCAATCTTGAACTCCAAAAATACTCTAACTGGTTATCCAACAACAAACTAATCATAAATTATTCGAAATGTGCATACATTATTTTTGGCCCAAAAATACTCACCAACCAAGCTCCTAACCTAAACCTGTCAACCAAATTTCTTGGAATCACCATCACAGAAAATCTTTCATGGAATTCTCACCTACAAACTACCTCAGACAAAATCAACAAACTCACAGGCATCTTCTACAAAATCAAATATAAACTCTCTCTTTCTGCCCTACACACGCTTTATTACACATTCATCTACCCTTATCTAACCTACTGCATCACACTATGGGGAAATAGTCCAAAAAGCCACCTGAATAACTTAATACTCTCCCAAAAAAGATCAATACGTTTAATTTTTAACCTCAAACCCGATTCTCATACTAAACCCTTCTTCCTAGCAAAAAAAATTTTACCACTTAACTTCATCTGTCTTTACTACTCTGCTTTATTCGTTTTTAAATTTATCAACAATCTTCTCCCACCTCACTTTATCAATTTTTACACATTAAGTAACTCCGTTCAATCTACAACCACTAGACACACCCCTCTCTTCTATATCTACAAAACTCGCCTCAAATTAATCCAGACAAGCATAAAAATAACAGGTCCTAAAATTTGGACAGAACTTGTACCTCCCCATCTAAGAGCCATCATAAACCTACAACATTTCAAGTCAAAATTCCGTGCTTTTTTATTGACACTGGATCTCGACTCCACCACCTAATACTATATTAAGAATACGTTAGAACAAATGATACGGATGAATGGTCTTTATGTATGGTTAAACATTTATGTGTTTATATATGTACTGAGCGAACATTTACATAGTTATATGTCTATATATGTATGACACGAACATTTACTTATTTATCTTCAATTATCTTTCTGCTTCAGTTATTTTCCTTATTTTATTTCATTAACTATTCATGTATCTACCAGCGGTGGCCACCACAAGACAAACAGTCTTATTCGGTCTCCGTATATTCAACTTCATAACTTTTATTCACTTATTTGATATGTTGTTGATTATGAATAAAACTTTGAAATGAAATATATATATATATATATATATATATATATATATATATATATATATATATGTGTGTGTGTGTGTGTGTGTGTGTGTGTGTGTGTGTGTGTGTGTGTGTGTGTGTGTGTGTGTGTGTGTGTGTGTGTGTGTGTGTGTGTGTGTGTGTGTGTGTGTGTTACACACTAAGTCATAGACCACATATGTTCGCCCCCCCAACCAAAATCTGAAATGACCCCCCTGCCTATACACAACAAAACAAAGTTAAAAGAAAACTGAAAAGACGGAAAATTACGGAGGGTGGTGGTCAAAAATAAGAATAAGATTGAGGCATTTAACTCGGAAGGCGTCCGAAGTTAAATGCAGAAGTGAGGAAATTTTCATGGCGGATGTGGACAACGATGTACATCAAGAAGAAGGGGAGGAAAAAACTTACAACGCTGCAGCTGTTCCAGGAGCTATCAGGGATGCTGTTGTCAATGCTGATGAAGGAGAAGAAAAGGACAATGAAGAAGAAGATGAAGATGATGATGAAGAAGATGATGATAACTATGAAGAAAATGGTGATAATGACAGTAATGATCCTGATGTTATTAGGGTTGATGATGACGATTATGGGGTTGGTGTTGCTAAGGATGATGACGACAACAGGATGGTGATGAGGACGAAGATGATGATTATGATGATGAAGAAGATAACGATGATAATGATGGTGTGATGATGATGAAAATAATAAAGACGATGTGGAAGATGACGACGACGACGATGATGATGCTATAGAGTACAACGGACCTCTGGAGTATTTGATGTTAAATTTTTTGGTTTTTATGTGATTAAAACTGAAACTATTTCTCTTCAACCAATAAATATACTCAGTGCATGCACACTATTTTTACATTAAATGCATTATTATTATTAATGCATTAATAATTCAATGCATTATTATTATTTTTTATTTTTATTATTAGGATTATTATTATGATCATCATTATTATTAGTATTATTATAAAATCGGCATTAATTAGGATTATGATTTGATTCTGATATTTAATATTTCAGTAGCATCGTGAATTTTTATTAAGATAATTTTATTTTATACGAAAATTCAAATAAATTGGTTCACAAACTCAACTGAAAACTTGTGAGTAATTTGATAAGGTAATCGTTCGAGTCGTTAAGCATGAAATTGTAGCAGTGAATCAATTATAATTTTTTTAAATTTATTATATTATAATTATATTTTTAATATATTAAATAATATTTATATTCTATTTATTTATTATATTATATAAATTCTATATTATATTGCAGGATAAATTTATATTATATTGCAGGATAAAAACCACAAAATTTTAAACCTCAGATGCCAAATAATTTTAAATTGAAAAAAATCCTCAACCTAGATCGTACGGTTTATAAATGAAAAAATGAGGATATATCAAAATATAATGCTAATAATTAATTAATCAATTAAATTTACATTATAACTTAATTACTTCAATTGAGTAGGGTAACAAGAGGTGTGACAGTTTAACCTGAAATCAACTACCAAGTGGTGGTTCTAGGGTGGCTGGGGCGGGTTTGCCTTCTCCCCCCAACCGAATCATGATGGAAGAATATATCGAAAATTCTATGCTTCAATCGGTCGTTTGAAAAATACACACACAACGTACACACATTTAACGATTCAATTCGTTCCCAGAAGTTTTGAAGTTCTGGGAAATAGATTCACATCGTTTTTCGTGATTCATTATTGCGTTTAAGTATTTATTAAATTATTTTATTCTTTTGAATTCACAATTATGTTTCATTTATAATTTCAGTTCGAAAAAATTTCTCAGTTATTCGGAAATAATTACTTCGTTGCGCTAATCATATTTTTAGGTTTATTGTTATGTATGAATGTGTGTGTGTGTGTATGTTTGTTTGTTTGTATGTATATATGTTTGTTTGTTTGTATACATGTGTGTGTGTGTGTGTGTGTGTGTGTGTGTGTGTGTGTATGTATGTATATGTGTATGTAAGTATTGTTGTTTGTTTGTATGTATGTATGTATGTATGTATGTATGTATGTATGTATGTATGTATGTATGTATGAATGAATGTATGTTTGTATGTATGGGCGTGTTTATGCATGTATATGGGTATGTATATTTGTATAGCGTATGTATGTTTTTATATTCCACGGATTTTCAGCATTATCCATACATAGAACTTCACTTCATTACCATTCGAAAAAACAAATATGCAGGTTTTAGGTTTAAAACTAGGTTTAAACACACACACATCACACATACACACACACACACACACAGATATATCATATCATCATCGTCATCACCACCACCAAGCTAAGTAAGAGAAGCAGTGGCAGTAACTTACCTGTAGAAGAAGCTAGCCAGTTTATTTAAATGCTTGTTTTGTGTAAAATACTGATCTGCTCGTTTCAAATGAACGCAAATAATGGCCAAGAATGAAATTTTTTTAAATTATGTGTGGATTTTTTTTCACGAGGTTTGACCTCTTAAAATAACCCTAACGATTTTGAAATGTCCCATTGTTGGCAAGAGAAAGATAATTAGTCATCTCACGGTCAACATCTAGATAGCATCCAAATTGGATATCATGACTGACTGAGAAACTGTAAAAAAAAACTGTGGATTAGTTTTTCAGAGAAAGGTTAGGAGGAGTCTTACAGCGTATGTGCTGGAACGTTCGGTTTCTCAGGAGTTCAGAGACAAATGCACCTACATATATTTTAAGAAAGGTGATAACCGAATAGTCTCCCGTCCCTCTATACTTAAAAATGTATTGGCAATGTAGGGATCGAAACATGTCAACAATTTAAAAATTTTCTGGTAAGGTCGATGTGGTTTTCCAGCTAGGCGCATTACAACTGACGTATTAATATAATTATTACTGCCAGGCAACTGCAATAGAAATGTCGAAAGTAGAAGTAAGGGGTCCCTTTCATTTCAGCTGATTTGACAAAGACATTTGATAGAGTTGACAGACCAACACTCTAACCTTGCCTGGCAAAAGTTTTCACCATTTTCGAGTAGCAAGGATAGGGGTATATTGTTAACTGCTGGGACTCTGCTTACATTAAAACTCATTGATGAACTAAGTCGTCGATATACTCCATATGTGTGCGTGTGTGTGTGGTGTGTGTATGTGCGTGTGTGTGTGTGCGTGAGTGTCTGTATCCTCCGATTGATTTTAGTTGAAATGACTTCTTTGAAAAGTTTAAACTTTATGAGTTAAACTGAAATCGAAATTATTTTATGGCCGTACTATCAAGAGTAATTATGATAATTTTGAAACCCTTATTTCTGAAAATAGTTAGGAATAGGTTTTCTATATAAACCAGAAACTTAGAATTATATATAAATGTGTGTATGTATGTATGTGTGTGTGTGTGTGTGTGTGTGTATGTTAGTGAGTGTATCTATAAAATATGTATCTATACCAACGTGTATGTGTGTGTGTGATTTGTTCATTTTTCTCTATATAAGCGGGCAGATGGAGCTGTGAATGTTCAAAAAATAAAAGTTCGTTTGATTCCATAAAGTTATTTTATCAAGTAATACTGGTAATAATATAATAATAATAATAATTATTATTATTATATTATAATAAAATGATGATGGAGAAGATGATGACGATGATGGTGGTGATGATGACGGCTCTGGTTGTCTACGGAAACCCAAGTGAGGGAGTTGAATGAACTTTTTAATTTGGTGAAGGCTTGAGGTGTGAGCATGTTTGGAAGTTTTTAAATGAGTGTTTCAAAATTTTTACGAAATACTCAAATGTTGAGTATCTAAATCAACAGTGCTTGTTCGAAGTTCAGTATTTAAGTAGTAATTTAGCACCGATTACTGCTACTAGTCTTTCAATCCTACCACGAAGTAGTTACAAAAATCTTAGATACAACGCTACCTTCATTTGATACAATTTAAAAGGTTGATATAAGATACTTACGTGTCAATAAATAAATTAATTAATAATTAAATGATTAATCAAATGATTAAATAAATAAATAATTAATTAATTAAATTTTCTTTTCTTCTGTCGATCGTCTCTTAGTTAAAACATTGAATCTAACCTCCCAGTTTGAGAAAGGTAAGATATATTAAATTAATTATTATTAATTATATTAAATTTAGTTATTACTGATTTTCTCATTTATTTTATATTTATATAAATAATAATATAAACAAATTATATATATAAATAAATAAATTTGTAGGAAAGTCACAACTTTTAGCCCCGCATTTTCGGGGTAAATTTAGGATTCAGACTTTCAGATATGTACAGTCGGACATACAGTTGTTTAGGAAAGTCTGTGAAACAACTGCCAATGCTGTGACTTTCCTAAACAACTCTACAACTAAGAGTCTGAATCCTAAATATAATTATATATATATATATATATATATATATATATATATAGAAAGAGAGAGTTAGAGGTATAGAAGGAAAGTGAAAAATAGAGCCAGAGAGAGAAAAGAGAGCCAGAGAGATAGATAGATCCAGACAGAGAGAAGGAGATATATATATATATATAATATAAATAATTTTAATGCGCCTTCTCTAAAAAAATATATATATAATTATAAAAATAAATATATGTAACCAATAAAATGTTTAAAAATATATTTTGTATTTATTGAAAAATAAATCCATGTTCTTCTCTAAAAAAATATATATATAATTATAAAAATAAATATATGTAACCAATAAAATGTTTAAAAATATATTTTGTATTTATTGAAAAATAAATCCATGTTAATCATTGATTTTCCCATGGAAGAAGTGTCCGCGAGCTTCTGGGATACCTTCGACTGGAGATGGGTCTCTCCGGAGCAAAGTAAATTTAAATCCAATTTCTATTTATAGTTTTTGGTCTCAAGCTAGATGATGCTGATGATGATGAAGAGGAGAATGATAGAATTATAATAAAATGACAATGATGGCGATGATGATAATGATGATGGTGATGAAGATAGTGATGATGATGACGATTATGATAATGATAGGAATGATGATGGTGGTGATGATGGTGTGATGATGATGGTGATGAAGGTAATGATGATGATGATGATGACGGTTGTGATGATGATGGAATGATGGTGGTGATGATGATGGTGGCGATGATGATGATGAAGAAAAATAAAAGTGATAACATCTTTTTAATATCGTTCGAACAAATGAATGAATAAATGAATGAATGAATGAACGAACGAACAAATGAATTAATTAATTAATTAAATTCTCTACTTAGCATAAGAACAAACAAAAATCATTAACCTTAAACAATTGTAAATATAAAAAAAATATTATACTTTAACGTAATTTATTTAACAATATGATGATAAACAATAATTATGAAATAATAAATAATAATAAAAAAAAATTCTCAAATAATTTTTTCTCAAATATTTAAATATTTGTGAATATTTGTAAATATTCAAATATTTGTGAATAAAATGGATTACAAAAAAATATATCTCCAGGAGAAAATCAAGAGTACCGACACATCGGACAGCATGATTTTACCGACCTGACCGTTGAAGATCGCGAATGTAAAATTAATACTTGTTTCGATTCAAATAATTTTATTCTTTCTCTTTCTGTATGCCTCTCTTTCTCTTTCTCTTTCTCTCTCTCTCTCTCTCTGTTTGTCTGTCTGTCTTTCTTTCTCTCTATTTTTCTCCCCCTCTCTCTCAATCTCTCTTTCTTTCTCTCTCTCTTTCTTTTGTTTTCTCTCCTTTTTTCTCTCTCTGTTTCTCTCTCTCTCTCTGTTTCTCTCTGTCTGTCTTTCTTTTTCTCTGTTTTTCTCCCCCTCTCTCTCAATCTCTCTTTCTCTCTTTCTTTCTTTCTTTCTTTCTTTCTTTCTTTTTTCTCCCTTTCTTTCTTTCTCTCTTTCTTTCTATCTCTCTCTCTCTCTCTCTATATATATATATATATATATATATCGAGCATTTTATTTTTAATATGATTAAACACGAAATTAATGACCGTCCTACAGATCTGTTCAAAGAGTTCAAAACTTACCTGCAAGAATCCTACCC